TAATAGTAACCATGGCTGAAAGCAGGTTGTGTGTGTGTGAAAATGAGCACTCTTGAGAAGACAGTGCCCTTGTTTGCTTGTTGTGAACTGAAGCACAGAACAAGTTTACAGCAAACAGAATTATGGGAAAGCAACGAAAAGGGGCATGCAAACGTTTATTCATTCTGGGATGAAATCAGGAAGGCCACAGCCCAGTTGGAGCTAAGACTGGTGGGGACAAAGGGAAATATAAAGGGATGTTATACATGCCAGCAGCAAGAGGCATTTTGGAGAAACTGTAGGTCTACTGATGTGTAGGAGAGACAACCCAATGGCAGATGACAAGCAAAAGGCCAGAGTATTCAATGCCCTTCTTGCATAAGTTTTCATTGGCAAAGGCTCTTCATGTACCCAAAATGATTTGTGAAGGAAAGCGATGACAAAGAGCAGGAGCAACAAGTGAGGGTCTACCAAGAGAAGCCACAAGTTATTCACATCCATGGGACAAGATGGAATTCACCAAAGGATGCTGATGTGACTATATGGCTGCTGCCCATCTTCAGAAGCTCACAAGGACAGCTTGGACAACTGGACGCTTTGTAAAAACTCAGTAAGTACAGGTTGGATGAATAAACTGTTAGATAAATGGAACATCAGATGGACCTTTAGGTCAAAGAATAATAACCAATGTTGTGATGGGCCATCTGGCTGCCAGTAATGAACAGAGGACCCCAGGGAATGACACAAGAGCTGATATTGTTCAGCATTTCCATCAGTCACCAAGCTGGTGACACAGAGGTCACTTTCAGCGCATTTATAGATGGTAACAGATTAGAAGCGATGAGTTCCATCTCCATTTGGCAGAGATGGCAGAGCTTCACTCCAGAAGGGCCTTGAGAAACTTGGGATCTGATGACTGAATTAACAGGATGGTAAAGATAAGGGAGGGCACAAAAAGTAAAGGGTGGAATGCAGTGTTATGTGCACGGAAGTGCCAATTTCCTGCAGTGTTTTCCCCTCACCATGCAAGAGGATGATGCAGGCAGCAAGACAGCTCATTACCCAGGTTAAAATGACTCAGTTCTGCTTCAGATCTTGCTTCTATTTCACCAGCTTTTGTATCTGAGCCTCCCATTAACAAAAATAAATGGACTCTAACATCTTCTAAGCAAGCTTGCTCAGAGATCCCTGAAACAATCAAAGGATGGGGAAAACAGTCCATTGCATATTATGCATGGCTTCTTGGAATTTTAGATATATTAGGCAATACCTCTATTTATTTATTGAAATTAGCCTAATTGCATGCATATTTATTGTCTGCTGTTCCTTAGTATCTGGGCAAATCAAAGCAGACTCTTTCACTACAGAGACAGCAATTTTGCATATAAAATATGGGCAGTTTTACATCAGACTAATAATACTATTCCGTTATTCAGAACCAGAGTTAAAATTAGCAAGCATCTCAACAACCAGATGCATATTTTATCTTAAAGGTACAAGCCCAAATTAGCACCAGCCCCTGCCTCCTACCAAAAGCCCATAAATCTCAGTGGGCTCTTCTATGCCAAGATCACTGACATGAGACAGGCACATCCTATTTTAGTATTAGAGGTACTCCAGGGGTTATCCTCCATCTGCATCCATTTGCACTGTGTTGGAAAAAATATCATATCTCCAAAGCTGACCTTTTATATTGCCTTTTAAGAAGAAATAAGGTCTGCACTTGCTGGTTCCTATTTCAGTGAAAATGCAGCCAAACCCACTTGCCTGGGTTCACCCCAGAAGCACCAGCTGTGTCTCAAAGCTGTCCTTAACAACACAACAGAGCCAAGAGCTGGGAAGCCCCTTGCACAGAGAAGGCACTCTGTCTCAGTCTCACACTAAATAAAAGCCAGAGCCTTTATTTTTGTTGCATGAAAACCACAGAACAGTCCTTTAGCAGGTCTTTTTCTCCCAGCAGCTGAAAGCAACCCACCCACTTTCACCCAAACCAGCCTGATCACATCCGTTCTGAGGTGCCTGCAACACATCCACAGCTGCTGCAAATCCTAGGGATTGCCAATGCAGAGCTGCTGTTGCTGTGATTTCTCCATCATATCTGCATTCCTTGGGCTCTTGCCAGTTCTGCCTCCCAGAATTAAGGATCTATTAGGTCGTCTTCATTTTAGAAAAGATGTGAGTGGCAAATCTGCCTGCTGAGCGTGGTTCAGCTGAAACCTTTTCCTAAAGGCTTCTGGAAGGCTTTGCAATAGGCAGGACCTTTGTGGTTCTGATGTGGGGTTTGTTTGCTGTGGGACAGGGGATATCAGCTGCAGGAAGGGTGCTGTGATCCACCTAGCAAGCAGGGCTCGGCTTCCTCTTCCCATAGCTGAGCTGAGCTGAGCAGCAATATTTGCTGATACTGGCTTAACATCGTGAGAGGAGATGCAATGTTTACCATGACCATTTGCAAAGGATGTTTTCAGTGATGGGAAAAGAGCCAAATATCTCACAAGAGAAATATTCTAGCTTTAAGAATTTATTACCACTTCCCAGTAACGTGGGCTGAACTATTAAATAACCTTGTGCAATTTCCTGGACAGATACATATTAATGGGAGTGTTGAGCACAGATCAAGGGTGAAACACTGTTCACCAAGCCCAGGCCTGTGGGCAAAGCCCTTTGGCCCAATGCTTATTCAGCAAAGGACAGGGGGTGCTGGGGGCTGCAGCAGTTCACAGCATCACACACCGTGAGGCCTCTGTCTCTTATGGATTGTTATCATTGGTCCAGACAGTGCTGCAATTATCGTGCCAACTTTTCTACATTGCTTTTCAGCTCTAAATGAAATATTGTTGGTCAGTGTGGCAGGTACTCAGTTTCTATACCTTCTTTTTTGTCTGTACCTTCTTTTTTAGTGTGGTAAAATGGAATATAGCTGCTTGTGCTCCACAGTATGCACCAGCATAGCAAGCCACGATATGTACTTAGATATCTGATCCTGCTTCTTTCAGTCAGGAGCAATAAGCAATGAATCTGGTGATAAAAAATCATAGACCAATTATCTCAAAACCTTTTTCAATAAAAAGAAATCAATTTCTCCCCCCCCCTTTTTTTTTTTTAGATACATGGAGAGAGGAAAGCGGATTGAGAGCAAGGCTGAGAATCAGTGGGGCTTTTTGGAAGCCTGAATTGTCACCAATTATCCAAAACTGAAGCTGATCTGCTATTTTGTGAGCTGTGCTCTAACTCGTAACCAACTTTTTGGGACTGTCATTCTGGACATATCTCTGCTGAATGGTCCATACAAGCCTTGGCCATTTCTGCTCCTCAGCCAAAGCTAGTACTCAGCTCTTGCCTATAGGGTCAGAGTGGTCCTTCTTGCCCATGGTCCCTCATCAAATGGTCCCTCATCAAAACACACCACAGAAACACAGTATGAATGTGCAGCACTGAACACCAAATGTGCCAAGAGGCAGTGAGAAACAGCTTGGGTCCAGATTGCTGAACCAGGGCAGAAGGAAAGGGGAACCTCCATGAAGCTACGTGTATGTAGCATCACCTTGGGATTTTTGGCTCCTGAATGGAATCATGCAGAGCAGGTTGGTGGCATCAGCTATTCCAAAATTTGTGAAGTCTTAAAGCACTGCTGGATGATTTAATTTCTGGGAGATATCTAGACAAAATAGCCCGACAGGTGGAGATGCTGATGTAGTAACAGCCATAATAATGCATGATTCCACTTCTGAAAACCCACTCATCCTTCCTATTGGGGGAAATTGCTGTGATTCTGCTCCATTGTGGAGGCAGTGGGAGGAAGGAGAGAGATTCATCCTTCCCTCTGATCACAAAGAAAAGCCAGGCCATGCCCTGCCATTTTCCTGAAGCCACAAGGGCTGGAAAAGCGGCTGCCTCCTGACCAAGCTGCCCTCAGTACCATGACATCCTCAGCTCTCAGGAGCAACAGACATCAAGGTCATTGCCCATTGCTCTTCCTCACTCTTGGACAACTGCAGTGAGAGGCAAGTCCTCAGACAACACCAAGACTTAGCATGTTGTATGGACACATAGATATTCCTCCAGTTTCAAGACAGTGAAGTTCCCCTTCAGATTTCCCTGTCAATGTGTGTCCTGTGCATTGTCATCAGCCCCACTAAGGCAGTGTCTTTCCCACTAAGCACATACCCTGCTACTTCCAAGCCCCCAGGTCAGAGTCCTGGACCTGGCAGAGCACATGTTATGGTGAATAAATCTTTCCAGTGTATTCCAAGAAGTACTTTCACTCGTCCAGGCTGTCACCGTGCTTTTCACTTGCCATTCCCAGTTTAGGTCTAACCCTGCTGCCTCCCTTCAGCCCTCCTGTTTCCTTTGTAGGGCTCATATTGCACACATGCCCTGGGAAGGGTGTGGGGTGATCAACCCCTTTGCAGAGTTCTCTGTGTATGCCCAGCAAGCCTTCCCCTGCACGGATTGCTCCACTTCCACATTTTCCACTTGGCATGGAGCAGTTTTATTTTTACCAACACATCACACATACTTCAGAGGCACATTTGAAGTGCAAAGCCCACGTTCTGTGCTTAGACAGCCAGCAAACTGTTACTGAAAAACACTCTGATTGGTGTAGGGCTTACGTAAAATCAGAGTATATAGTCTGACCTGTTTCCAAATGGCTAGGAAATGGCCCTGGAGAGGATAGAGATGTGATTCCCTCTAAATGAGCTATTTTCTCTAATGGAGCCCACACACCAGTCCCCCCAATTGCATTTCTCCAGAGAAAGCAGCAGCAGTCCCACACACACCTCCATTGCGGATTGCTCATCTTCATCCCATGGTAACGTGTGGCAGAGCCCCTCCTGCTCAGCACTGGGGCCTGGGGCACTGTGGGATGGGTCCACAATGCAGCAGATCAGAAACCAGCATGCTGCTAAGTGCATGTCATTCAGCTCAGCTGATTGTAGGTGCAAGGAGGAGGAAAGATGGTAACTGGAATTATTAGACAGTCTTATCTTTTCATGTTTAATATGGCTTTTTTTTGCTTTTCCTTTTTCCTAAGGCTGGCTGAGCATTTTATATGAGTGCTACATCAGCACCATGCCCATTTTACAAGCAGGAAACCAATGCCTAAAGAACTCACTTGAGCAGAGTACAGCAGCAAACCCCAGCCCACAAGAGAGCAGAACCAAACCTCCCGGCAAATGCAAATCCCCTTCTCCAACCATCTCCATTCAGTTGCTATGCAGCACTTTCTCTCTTTTTCTTCTTCTTCCTTTTTTTTTTTTATTTTTTTTTTGTTAAAAATAACCCATCACAAACAAAAGAGAACGAGAAGGAAACCGCACGCTCCAACATACTTACTTCCATACCGTTGGCATTAGTACAAAAATAAAGATTTTTTTTATTATTTATTCACTAGCTTACAAAAATATAAAGTCTGTGGCATCCCCCCCTAGGCCCCGGCAGCAGCTCTATTTGACTCTGGGCGACAGCGCCTGCTTGAAGCGTCTCTTCAGGTCCTGCATGTTGGGGGAGCGCGGCCGCGGGATGACGGTCGGGCGGCGGCGCTCGGCGTGCTGCAGCTTGCTGACCTCCCGGCACAGGTACTGGAACACCTCGCAGACGCCCTGCAAGCTCTCGCTGGTGGAGATCTCAAGGAAGAGGCTGCCCAGTTCGTTGGCCAACTGCAGCCCCTCTTTGGCCTGCACCTGCCTGGCGTGGAGGAGGTCCGCTTTGTTCCCCACCACGACGATGGGGATTCGGGCGTCGGGGTGGAGCTGACGGATGTGCTGGTGGAGGGGACGGACCGCCTGGTAGCTGCCGGGGTCCGTGATGGAGTAGACCACAAGAAAGCCCTCTGCCCACTTCATGCACCTCAACAGCGCATCCGGTGCCTGCACACAGTCCTCCTGTACCTGTAGAGGGACACAGCCAGGGCTTGGCACGGCACTTGGAATGGGGCTGGGAGCACCTGGCCCAGCACAGAGCCCTGCTAAGGGGGTTGAGCTGTGTCCTGGGGGGGCTCGGGCCAGCTGTTTCCTTTTTAGGAAAACAGACGCTCATAAGCTGAGCTCTTGAGTGGCAGAGAATGGACCGTAGCTGAGCAAAGCACAGTGCAGGGCATCCCTTGAGCGAAGTGCGGCTCAGTGGGTAGCAGGAAAAAAGGCTGAAAGCTAAATCTGCCCAAAACACGCCTTCGTGACCCTGTACAATTCGAGGGTTCTGAGCCGTACATCCCGGTCAGCGAGGATGACCACTGGGAACCTCTGTGACCCCCCTCCCCCAAAGATTTTCGACCCCCCGCTCCCCGATCCTCGCGGGTCTGGGCCGGAGCCGCCCGTACCTGGAGGCAGCCCGGCGTGTCCTGGATGTGCACGGCCACCTGCTCCCCGTCCAGCCGCACCAGGCGAGAGTACAGGCTGCCCGTGTTGGGCTCGTAGTCCCCGATGAAGCGCTTGGTCAGGAACCGCACGATCAACGCTGAAACAGGGCGGCCGCGTTAGGACGGAGGGATAGGGAGCACAAGGGCGGACGGAGGGACGGACAGCCCGCACTCACCGCTCTTGCCGACGCCGCGGGCCCCCAGCACTGCCAGCCGCAGCTCGGTGCCGGGCGGCCCCGGGGAACACTCGGCGATGGGAGCCAGCAGGAAGGGCTGGGACATGCCCGGCAGGCGCATGGGGCCCGGCTCGTCCCCGCTCGGCTCGGCAGCGCCCGTCTCGGCCCCCGCCGCCCGCTTTTAAAGGCACCGCCGGCACCGCCCCGCAGCCGCCCCCGGCAGCACCGCGCCGCCCACCGCCTCCCCGCAGCACCCCGCGCCGAGCGCTCCCGGATCGCGGCAGATCCCGGTTTGCGTCCGCCCGTCCTCGTAGCGCCCGGTGGGCGCGGACCCCAAGGATGCTGGGGAAGCCTGGGCAGCGATGCGGCCCGGAGCGGTTTTGGGGTCTCGGTGGGTTTGTAGGGTGTGGCTCCAGCCCAAGTGGTGACGGAATCACAGAATCATAGAATATCTTGAGTTGGAAGGGATTTACAAGGATCATCGAGCTCAGCTCCTGGTTCCCACAGGTCCTGCATTATGTGTCACCTCCGCAGCTGGGCTCTCGAGTCATTACAAGGGAAACGATTTAGTCTTTTATCTCAGTTATGCATCTGAATGCATCCCTCCGGTGTCAAAATCCCAAAGCCTTAAGCCCCAGCCTTGCAGATCACCAACCATCAAGCTTCAAACACTCCACTTGACCCTGAGGTTTGAAATAAGCTTTCTGCTTTTCTGAAGGGAAATAAAGTTTCTGAGGAAAGTTGATCCACGCCAGGCCTGAGGTCACAGCCCAACAGGTAAAGGAGCCTCGAATCCACTAACAGCTCAAATCCCCGTGTGAACCATTACCTTGGTATCCCCAGCACCACCCCTACAACACGACGCTCTGCAAGGATAGAACTCTTGACAAAGTGAATAGTTCATTCAAGGGATGCTTCATTTTTATTGCTGTCAGAGAGGTAACACAAGCCAGCAGGAAAAAGCACAGAGGATGGAACTTCTTCACATGCCAGGCACTGCTGTCACCTTCCTCCCTCCGAGAGCACAACGTACACAACTACAAATCACACTGTTCTTGACTTTCTCTCATCCTCCCTTCTACATTCTCCCTAAGACCAAGCAAGTGCCCAGATGCCATGTCTGCTCAGCACTTTTTTGGGAACTTCCAGCGACTCAAGAGCTCAGGAGAAGGCTGCCAGAGCAACACCACCCACCCTGTTCTGCCATCACAGAGGCGCTCCCAAGATAAGCCAACCCCTGGCACCATTGGGATGAGAATGGGGAGGGCTCCCTGCACCCCACAGCACCAACTGGCCCCCCAAAACCCACATTCTAGCCCACTTAAATTCTCCCTTTGTGGCTCAGAAACTCCACCTGGTAAGAACGCCACTGTTCTGAAGGGCTACGTATGATTCCCAGCAGTTAACATCATCAGTTAAAGCAGTCTGTCAAAGTTTGTTATTGTTAGTATTACTCCAGTGTCCAAGAACCCCTATAGGAGCATCAAGGCCATTTTTAGCCCAGATTGCTTCTGAAATCTCTCCATCAACACTCCCCATCATGCAGTTTCCCTTTCATAAACAAGGTTTCTCCTCTATCACTAAAAGCTTTTGGTTTCCAGAGGTTCATGCTATTGTCATCTGCTCCTATTGTCATGCACCACCACTTGTCTCTGGCCTTGTGCATGCTGCAAACACAGCCTATTTTTAAACATTTCTTTATAAAAGAGTTATCAGGGTACATCCAGCATGCCCTTGAAAGAACAGCATTAAAATGAGTCCATTCCAAGCAGAAGATTGCCAGGTGCTGAGCTGTGAGAGCAGCAGCACTAAACATCATCCCCATAACTTGAGCTCCTCTTGCTCCTGGCCAGTTGCAGAGCTCAGCGTGTCCTGCCCGATGCCCGCACCCCAAAGGACAAGGGGTGACAGTCACACACTGATGTCACTGCACAGACCAAGGCAGAACACACCGTGAAGCAACCCCTTGCCATGGCCGAAGCCGTTTGGGCTCAGGTTGTTCACATGGCAGCTCAGATCAGCAACGTCCACAGAGCAAGCCCCCCTTTGGATGCACGGGCTTTAAAGCCATTCCAAGGAATCTCATTTCTCAGGTGCAAACCCTACTTGGCAGCACCAGTCTGTACTGCTCTGCACAAGTTGTCCCATACTGCCAACCCTACAGTCTCTGTAAGGCCTTTCATACAAAGACCATTCAGCCCAAGTTGTATTCCCGCCCCAAGCCCTTCTGGCCTTGAGCACCTCCGGGAATGGCAGCTACAAGCTCTGGGCTTGGCTGGCAGGGGATCTTGAGGATGTTGTCTTGAGGATGTGGGGCAATGAGCAGCAGCCACAAAGCTTCCCTATGTGCAGGAACACTATTGAGAACCTCTGTTGTGAGCTAGCATGCGTGCATTGTGCCCCCATGAGTTTCCGGTCCACATTTGAGCGTGGCTTTGCCTCCCATTTCTAATCCTCATTGGTCTGCGACTGGCCAGTTTGGAGTAGGCATCTGCAAAATGGTGACTGACAGCTCGAGAGCTACCACCCAAAGCCAGACAGCAGAAAATGGAATCAGGAGCTTCACCCAGAGCTTGGCAGTTTCTGGGTTCCTGAGCTGTGCGGGTGCTGAGCACAGGAGCTGCACCCCTAGACAGTGCTTGAGCCAGGACAATTATGTGCATGAAATCTACCAGCTGCAACCTGATTCTTAAATAGGCATAGGTACCTATTTCCCATATAAATGGAAATTTGCAGCCCCAGAGTGCCAACACACAGTGGGGAACACCAGCAGCACTCCTGAATCATAAGGCACTTCCCATACAAATGGCAAGCCCAGCTGAACTGTGTCCTTCCTCACACACCACGAATTACGGGAGCCCTCTGCACCTCAAGGTTTCTGCAAAGGCCCACAGGAGGACCTGTGTCAGGACAGCCAAGATCACATCCTCTGACAGGTGTGCTCACACAGCTCTCTGCACCCTCTGGACCAGCTGGGGCCATCCCACCCATGCAGGATACCATCCTTCAGATTATGATGCTGAGGCACAGACTGGATCAAGGACAAGACAACGTGTGTCAGCATTTCCTTCTATCACTAAGCAGGAAGACTACAGAAGCATTCATTTGTATGCCCTTGTGGCAGCTGCCTACCTGCCTCCCCCCAGGAATGTGAGGTGTCTGCATTTTCCTCGCTCCTCAGGCACAGATTCTCTTCCCCAGTCCTTTCTGCCCTTTCACTGACCGTTCCCACTCACACAAAGCATCACCATGCATCACACTGCCTACACAGCCCCCAAGAAAGCTCACATCTTGGCACGAGTGATGCACGAGATGAAGGTGACAGCTCAGGTTTTCCTGTGTCTCTTCTGAGTATTCAGCAGAGGAGGAAGGGAACCAGCTGCAGTAGTTCAAGGCAGTAAGGACTGACACACCTCAGCCCTCACCTCTGAATTAGGCTGCCTGGAATGCACAGCACCACACAGAAGTGTAACAGCTTGTGCTGATCCATGAGCACTCCACTCTCCACGTGTTGTACAAGGGTAACGTGACCACCAGCTCCAGAATGTAAGTCTGAATTGTCTGCAAAACTGAAATTGCACTAGCTCAACTATCAAAGAAATCTATAGCTTTGCAATCTTCTCCAGGAAGTTTTCCAAAATCATTGTGGAAGAGAATAAAATTCACAGAAGTCTATTAGGATAAGCAGCTGCAGCTGCCACACAAAGCTGCATGGCTTTGCTGGGTAGGCACAGCCGTCAGGACAGCTAAGTGCTGATCACAGCAAGTGGGTCTAATCCATAGCAGCCCAGCAGTAACCATAAGGCAGCACCTACAAACACTGACAAGGTTAAGCCTTTGCCAGTCTGTCCTTCCAAACATCCCAGCACACCTAAAAAGGCTCTCTTCTCTCGCAAACCCAGTTTCACTTTCCCTCACTTCTGGGAACGCAGACGAAGGAAAGCACGCCCTCCTGCTCTTCCCAGCCCACACAGATTTCAAACAGACACTCATGATCAGCTATTGCCTGCACAGCAACCTTCGAAATCACCGAGATGAAGTGGAAAACTCCAGAAACACAGCTCCCATAAAACTTAGTTTAAAACTACCCAACACTTATTCATGGCTGATAATGTTCCCATCAGGATGATACAGCAAATCCACTCCAGTCTTCACAGTAAAGTATAAAATAACTCACAAAAGCATGCAACAGGGGGAAAACAGATGGGAATACCATCCCCAAAGAGCATTCCCATTAATGCATCTCATTTAACTCTTACAAACATAAAGCCTAATGGAAAATGCCCACCTTACAAGTCAAACATTTATTTTAGATTGCTGTGGAAGCTCCCAAGCCAAATAAGCTGTTAACAGTCTAGTTTAATATACATATCCCACTGCTCCAAGACAAATGCATTTGCTCATAAAAGCTGAGCGCATAAACAGCAGCAAAAGTTAGCAGTCAGCATGCTTCCTTCAGGTGAAGGCAGCACACTCCACATCTAACATGCAATGTCGAAGTACCACACTGCCATTCTTCATCAGCACATGAACAGGTAAGACTTGTCCCATCTTCATCAAGGCACTTTAAGCAGATTCTTCTAAACTATTTAAGAATGCATATTGACTCTGGGATGTCCTAAAAACCCTTTTACTGGCTACAGTGGTGAAACAACTGTCTTCCCATAGCCATTTCTCAAGAAATGCTTTGAAAAAAACATTTCCCCAATTATTCCTTGGTATTAAACTGAGGCCCTTTAGCCAAAAGCTTTTATTGATGGTATCTGAAACCAGCTGTTTTCCCATTAAAAAAAACCTTAACCTTGAGACACCGTACAGTTCTTGCTATTTGCTCTCAGTTCGCCGGTGAAATTATTCCATGTCCTCTCATATTACCTCACTAGGTAATCAAAGGAGGATGATCATCATTGAGCAATAGCAAATGTCAGCATCCCCAAGGTTTATGGTCTACATAAATGACTAAACTGATGAGCAAAAGGTGCTGATGTTTTTAACAACCAAGCACTATGTAATGTAAGCTAAAGAAATAAGCTTAGAAAAAGTTTTCTAATAATCTCTTTAAAAAAAACTGCAAAGGAATCAGCCACAATCCCATACACTTGTCCAAAAACAGATCTTTATTTTTCAAACATGCATTACGCCATGAATTCATAGGGAATTG